GTTTCTAATAGGCAGACACTTCAAAAGCCGTAAAGTTAATAAGGATGAAAGGGTGTATAATGTATATTCACAAAGTGACCAAACTACCACTATCATGAACAGTTTAGTAGTGTTTAAAACAGGGAGATTGCAAAGTGGCCCCAAGTTTCGGCCTCCAGTTGTATGCGCATTAATTTACATAACACCTACGAAACTTGAGAGTTCCAAACTGCTTCTGTCTGAGAATTTCAAGTCAAACAAGACGCGGGAGACAGCACATTAAAATACAGGGAAGGGACATGTTGATTACTTACCAGATCTCAGATGTCCTAAACCAACTCCTTGGACTCCCCTGAAATCATTAGGTTCCGATAGTTAATTTCTTTGTTCAACCCTCATTGCACAGACCTAATCTATTTTTAGCCACGCATGTATTAGTTGCTTATAGCTAGTTAGTTACTTATTTTGTAGATACTATGCGACAACAAGCTTGATAATTTAATTTAAAGCACCAATTTGAAGAAGCTGACTTTTGGGGATCTGGAAATGAACTTTTTAAAGAAGGAATATTATTTCACTGAATCAATCTCTTTCGAATAAATATTATAATATTAAACATTAAGAACCAATGCTGTGAACCTAAGTATCTATCATAAAAACCCACGCATTTGTTACTAAAATATTTCCTCTTATTTTGGTATGTCTTATCTACAAAGATAATTATTATTACAATATTAATACTAAATTTCAAATTATTTTATTCATAAAAGATTTATCATTTAATCTCCGACAGTATAATTTGCTCAAGATAATCTTATTCGAAAAACAAATTACTATTATAATAGCTACATTTCCATCTTAAACTGTTTCCACCCACGTTAAAACTGAATCGATAAAAAACTTTGAAGCCGTCGCTGCCAAGATAGACAAATAGATTTATTTAAACATCTTGTTTACCAAAAAATTAATCTTTGAGCATGATTTAGTCTACAGGCGGTGTGGTTTTAGCAGAGGAGAATAGGACACTTCCCATAGAGGTAGTACAGGGTGACCCTAGCCATCTAAGTACTAAACTAAACGAATGCTTGTTAGGAAATTTGATTATTTTAAATGGCTCTTATTGTTTGAAATATTGTCTTGTTTCAGGTTAGCAACGGTAACATTATCCATTTAATGCCAGTCAATCATTGAACGGGTAAATCAAAAATCTCCACAAACTAATCCGAATAAACATTTTAAGCCAACGCACCCATTGTGATCATAACCCAATTATTTCTCCATGGCTGAACAGGCTGGTCCGGTCGACTAATTAATATAAAGTCGCACAATGGCCTCCCTGAACAAAGTGCGCGGTTAGGTTTCACAAATTCCTCAAACTTGCGAAGTTTCCAAACACTTTGAGGCGACAACTTCTTGCGATACTGTGTGGGGCTGGAACGCTGAGATAACTTGATAGGCTATTTTGTACTTTAGTTTAAACTACCAAATTAAGTTTTTAAATGAACTTAAGTAAAAGTAGAGTGCACAACGTTTTTCTATTTTATAACAGCCACGCAATATTGCAATATTGGTGCCTCTTCAAAAATATTATCATCATTTCAGCCATCAAACGTCCATTGCTGAACATAGGCCTCCCAATGATTTCAATGTTGACCGGTTGGTAGAGGCTTGCGTCCAGCGCCTTCCTGCTACCTTTATGATGTCGTTGGTCCACCTTGTGGGTGGGTCACACTGCGTTTTGCGGTACACGGCCTCCACTCCAGAACTTGCTGTCCCATCGGCCGTCAGTTCTGCGTACTATATGCCTAGCCCATTGCCACTTCCCCAAATAAATATTACCTAAGAAGTAACTCATCTTCCAAGTTAAAACTATTGCCTGAAATCTCTCTATATAGTTGAACTTCGATAACTCATAAAAAACAGCCTGTATTGTAAAGGCGCTTCCCGAATTCATTTCAGATACAAAACGAAATACGATAATGACAGATAAAACAATACTGAATGGTTACACTGCACAAATTGTTACAAAGAAAACTTGTAAAGGTGACCTAATGCATTTTTTAAAAGTAACTACTTCCTAAAAATAAACACTCTTGAACATATTTTCACACAATAAGTCACGCAGCTGGCAAGTGCTGATTACACTGTCTCAGTTCTCCGAAAATCTGAAAATAATGAATTATCACGTAATTGTAAATAAACGAGGCAAAACGAAGGTTAGTTATATTTAACATGGCTTAATATCATTGTCATCTTTTGAATATTAAGTATGGCCTGCATTTTACGATGCGAAGACTAGATTCAAAGTGAAACATTGCATGCTTTGAGAAAGCATGTGATTGTTTGACCTACAGTACTTATTCCTATCACACGATCGAATCCATTGTGGATTGACATCATGAAATAAAAATGTTGCATATTTTTGAACAGGACAAACTCCGAAAACGTATTTTTTAAACCTGAAGAAACCTTCAATATTTAACCCACCAAAATTGTATGCGAATAAACCCTACCAATCAACAAAATTGACCTACTTTTCAAACAACATCCCTATTCCATCTAACAAAGTCAAACCCAGCCACAATGTCTCTTGATGAGCACGTGTTATAGATATCACGCAACCTCATGAATAGTGGCCAAATAGTCCGCCATATTTCATTCGTATGTGATGGGACATGCGCGTGCGATACAATTATGAATAAGCGAGGTGAAGGCGATTAGACAATGGGACTTGGCAGAATCTTCTGGTTATGACAAAATTTTGATTTCATTTGAATCGTGACTCTAGATTAGATTCTGCCCGCGGAATAGGCCGCGTGGATTTCAATATGTCACCGATTTTATTTAGGTACAGTTTTTTGTTCGATACCTATAATATTATTTAATATCACCTATCTGCTAGTGAAATTTCCAGCTAATTGGTCCTGGCCGTTTCGGAAATTAATAGGAACAAAAATGTATGAATCTTATAAATACTCGTAGGTTAGGTTAGTTATTTAGTGAACATTACAAACAGACACTCCTTAATGTTATGTATAGATTTGAAAATGAAAGGAAGGTGATTCAGCCGTGCATATGCTTCGTGTCTGATCATCAAAACTTTTCCTATTTCAATCCCAAGGGAAAGGGTAGAAAATGGCGAATAAGTTGCATAGTCACTCAATATCGGAATAAGGGATTAGGCACGAATAACTTACTCATCAATATTAATATTGGTCAATGTGGGGATAGTGGGAGGATGCTATATTTTTCTATTATAATAATTTCTAAATCAGACATGTTCTTTAGCTGAACTACCTAGGCAGAAGTTTGTTTCTTTTCAAAAGATGACATTAACATGAAATCTGCTATGGGTGGGTAACAGAAACAAACTGCATTGCTCTATTCTATTCTATTCTATTCTATTCTAATTTAAAGTTTAATGCTTTCCATTTTTATATCTGTACCTGTTTCCTAGATAGTACCATTTATTTATTTAAACTTTTGCACATAAAAATAATGTAGAGTGACATATTTCTCTACCAGCCAATTACAGGTCAAGCATAAGACATTCCTTTAATAAGTTTAATAACTCTTAATACAAAAAGAGTTAATTTAGATACTTTTGAATACGTGAGGCAATATTACACTGACATAAACCTAGGCCCTCAAAGCTAATGGCCTATCTCAGTATTCAACTTACCACCCTAATCCCGTCATTTGTTGTATACTGACGTGTCCATTATATCCGTCGGCCAATGTTCTGGGAGGTAAGCACCGCTATTAATACACGCCATACCTGCCCGATAGCATAAGTGCTGCTCAAATTTACCAGATCCAAGCAATATTTCACGCTATATGTTGCAATATAACCTTTAGGGACGCGCATGCTTGTTGATGAAACGTTATTGAGGGTGTGTCTTTATGAAAGCAGATCATAAAAAAATCTGACGATACGTAACGTGCTTCTTAACAAAACATAATCTGATGTGAGTGTACACGAGTGAAATGGACTGCTGACTCTACTGTAGACTCTACCTTTAAATATAAAATAACTTATCTTTTGACTCTAAGAGACAGTCTTGAAGTATACAGCTGACAGTATTAAATAATGTACAGCTGTACACAAACGAGACGGGCTGACTCTACTGTGGGCTCTACCGTCAAAATATCTTATATACATTCAGTACCTTTCGTAAGAGTAAAACTTTCTTCTTTCTGTAGTGTCGGAGAACAGAGACTTAGCTTCAAAACAAGAATAAATTGTAAGAAGAATCCATAAAATTTCAGGTTTGATTTTACCGTCTTTAAAATATTATTTTTTAGTTTTACCAGCAACAATATTACGAAACATAAGGTATGTATGTAGTACTTATCTTAGTTAAAATAATCTAAAATTTTGGTCCAATAATATACGCTCTACTCGTATCAGGCCTTAATGGATTGTCAGCTGAAGATTCGATAGCAGACTATTTATAAAATTACGTAGCGTCTCGCTTTATTGGATCAGTGTCAGTACCAATCAATGTTCATTGATTAATGGGACTCAGCGATAGAACCAATCAACAGTACAATAGATGGATGAATAATTATATTTTAAAAGATTTTCACGACCTTCTCAGAAAAATCCTAATGTAAATACAGTTGACAGCACTGTATTATTGAAAACTCGCATCAATTACATCTACTTAGAATTCCACTTTGATGTGTCGTGTCGTTCTCCATAGATAAACTGTGAGTATAGCTCATTGTTACATAACCCAAGCGCATGTCTTAAAGTATTCAGCGCTATTATGAAAATAATGTTGAATAATAAGGCAGCTGCGTTAGCGATGCATATGGCAGTCGCGCCGCATGGTCAAATGGAAAACTGTGTCAGTGTGAACAGTTGTTGCGTTTACGTCACAAATTACGCTGTTCGGTATACAAGCAATCGTACTACTAGGTTCAAGGGGAGCCGGAATGAGCCGTCTCATTCGTTCTCTATTTATAGGTTCTCGCATCTATTCAGCTGTTCGCTCTCAGTGCAAAAAAGACCGGACTCGCAACAGCGTCTCCCGTCACTTCCTCGCGGCCGAGGAAACCGCGGCCGATCTCGTGTGGTCAGGCGGCCATCATCTGGAGCAAATCAAATGAGTTGACGTAAAGTAATGAGTTTAGTGCAATTACGCGCAATCGGCGCACGCGAACTTATGCAACATAGTTTTCGACATCAAACGCTCGGTTTACAGCATGATGTTCAGCAAACTGGTTACAGTGTGCGAAAGTGATCGGTCGTCTCAAATGATAATGTAGTATTCCGCATTGTTATTTGTGAGTGAAAAACAAAATTGACATTGGTGCTATTTCAGTGTGAATGCCGGTGGATTGTTACGTCTGGCACGATGCCAGCATATAGGAACAGCTGACTGTAAACAAACAAATTAGCCGCGAACGACAATAATGATGCATGTACCAAATATTTCAGTTCGGCCGTACCGAAAATTATGTCTGGAGGATATATGACAAAAATATTTCGGAGATGGCCGAAAAAGGAGACTCCAGCGATAGCGAAAGCCCCATAATAGACGACAACATAATACGAATTCAATTGAGAAAGCCTTGCCAAAGGAAATGGGAGCTGCGGACGCGAAATCACTCCCCAGGGATAAAATTCCCGACAATACAACTTTTTGATTGCGATGGAAACCTTCTCGTTGAAACAAATGACGACAACATATCTATAAAAAGTTCTGATTTCGATGAGCGTGGCTTAAAAACGAGCCAGTCGCTGCGGGATTTTAAACATTTTATCGGCAAAAATGCGGTTAAAAAACGCAATTCTATTTCAGGTGCCAAAGTTTACACTCGTGTTTACAGAAGTGTGTCGTTAAAAGATGATTCCGCAGACGTTGGTGCTAAAAGTTACGTCATACGAGACGGTACCAGTGTGGTAAACATTCCAAGCAAACTCACATTAAACAACAACTTAACTAATTTGCAAGCAAACAGTCTTGAGACAACCCCCTTTGAGTCTGAATGTTTTAGTGATATAAGCAGTTATAAAAGTTCTGACAATGAAAATCACGAGAAGGTGAAGCGTCCATATGAAACAAATAACCGTGCGGTATGCCAAAACGGTGCGATCTCAAATCTAAGTTCGGATCATTCATCTATATCTTCGCTGAGCGCGGCGAATCAATCAGCAAATGTTGTGTCATCGGATAAAGAAAATGAAGTGCGCGATGTCGGTTTACATAAATCTCAATCATTCAACGGCAATACGTTTAGAGATGGGAGTGATACCGTGGTTACATTATCCCGTTCGAAGTCCGGAGTGACGTACAAACCCCCGCACAACAAGGTATCTTTCCTCAACACTTACTTAAAAAGCTTACCCGCTAGAATGAACTCTAATCCGGATTGGTTTACTTTGCACCGGCGAACAATTGAGGATCGGGAGAGCTCCCGAACTGCGAGACGGCAGGAATTGCCTAATATCTCTTTCGCAAAAATCCGTCGCTGTAAAACTGGCGATAACACCTCGGACAATGAATTCATTAATATTCCAACGGACTTTGCCGCAGACTGTGAAATGAAAAAGCGCTTGAAAATGTATAGACGTGGCCTATCGGAGATCGAGCAGCGGCAACGAAATTCGAGTTTATTTACGAAAAAACGGAGACATTCAGTGAGTGGCCTGATGAGGGCATGCCTCACTTCGTCCTCGGAAAGTGTGGACGAAGCCGACGTAGTACTTAACCGTCTGAAGAGGAGGATACTCAAGAACAAGCTAAGAGAGAAAAGACGGAGCCTCGGCGAGAAATTTCAATTCAGTGAGTATCGTTTTACTTATTTGACGGAAAATTGATAATCAAAAGAAAAAATTATTAGCTTTTTTATCTTGAGTGTTTATTGTTATTATATTTCGTTGTTTCTACAGCGCGGCGGCAGCATATCAAATTATCTGTCCTTTTTGTTGCAATAGTACTTATAATTACACCTACACATCCTATTTGATGCAACGTCGTCGTCCATTAAAGATATTTGACAGAAAAATATAAATCAGCACATTTTAATGGACAATAGAATTTTTAACATTTTTGTCTAACATCAATGATTTCTAAGTCTGAAATTGTGTCTTTAATCAAAAAATCTTTGGTTTAACTTTAGAAAATCATATAATAAGCTATACAATCACCATCCCAGATTGGAAAGTCTTACCCTTTTTACTCACCCGATATCTTGATGTCTCGGTACCTACAATCACAGACGAACAAGTTGAAAGCTCTGCAGCATTGAATTACAGGAAAAATCCCTTTTCTCACGGACTACAGATACCTTTACAAAATCCTCCACGGCCCTCACTATATTTGCGTTAATACGCGTGAAGGTGTATCTCACTATATCGCAAATGGGCCGAAATAGAACGTCATAAATTTTCGGTTTTACGTCTGTGCCATATTTATTTTCGGCACCGAAAATATAAAAGTGAAATAACTGAAAGGACGCTTTTTGGTGTAATGGATTAGCATGCGTGTATTTCGAGTAAAGGCATTTGGTGTATTGCAAAACTCGTATGAAATATAAAACTCTTTAATTTTTCACATTTCGTACGACTATCTGAATTTATATTATACAGAAATAAATATTTGACTTATTAGTATTTATGATGTTTCAACCAGATGACTCAATCGACAATTTCATCTGGATTCCAGTGTTACATAAGTTTACGTATCGTATTTAATTAATGAATCAACTCTCTGTTAATGAAGCACTCGATAATATTCTCATAAAATGTTTTAACAGAACGCTAGCATTCAGTTTCATAAACACTTTTAAGACCTGGAACGCCATCTGTATCGTCACAGAGAAAACATTAAGTTGTGATGCCTCTCGTACCTTGAACCCGTTCTACAACAACCTTCGCTGCAGAACTGAGCAGCGCCCCCTTTACGACGCTCTCGGAATTACCTCGGTGAAGCCACTTTTGCTTTCGTCTCTACTAGGAGTTTGGAGATCAGTGCCACAGTGGTGCGAGTCGCGGGAAAAATGGAACCAAAGATTTTGTTAAGTTTTGTAAGATAGCGTTTGCATCGACAAAAAGAGTAGTCGTATTCGTATGTCTGAAATGGCATAGCGCTAGAATTTATATTTAATCGACAAAACGTGTGGACATCACCAATCTATTGACATATTTTAAGATTTGCGAATAAACTTTTCTTTGTTTTTCTGACCTTTCTAACCGGTCAAGAACATAATGGGGACCAAAGGTTTATGGGGACTCCTCATTTCCCCATTTACCTATCTATTTTTGTAACATCTGTAACCAAAATATACTCGTAAATTGTAATTTGGTGCCAAATAAAAAAGTCTTTTCTTTCTTTACACGTGATGTCGCGGCATAAAGTTACTGTGGAAAAATTCAATAACTTCTAATTTATTATTTTTTCTGTGGTTGGTTTAGTTCACAACTTACTCAACTGCATTGAGGAAACTGCAATATTAAACTCTTAATTAAGACTTGCAATAATAATTGTTAATTAATGAAGCATCAATTACCAAGTCAATCAATATTAAGCTATCAAGTTGTATCGATTGTTTTAAAAATGTAGATAAAAGAAATTATTTTAATAATAAGTAAAACAAGTTTTTACTCTCGTAAGATGTGTTGCTAGATTATCTACCTACTCAGCCTTGATCTCACTTAAGGTTATTTGAGTGCATTGCCTCAGAGATGTTTGTGTGAAATTTTATAATCCACACTTGAAAGTATTTAAATTGGTACAAAATAATCCAGTATTAATAGTAACATTTCATTCACAACTATTTATGGAAAAGGACGATACTCGTCCCAAAAAAGTGATGATATTATTGCAAGCTATATTTGGAATTTGGAACATGCTCTAAAATAATAAAATAAGATTTATAGAATTTGTCGGCCGTTTGGTGTACCTAGTGGTTCAGAACGGACTACTATGCCGAGAGGTCCCGGGTTCGATTCCCGGCCGGGCAGAAATTGACGGGTCTGGGTGTTTTCTATGTATTGTGTATTAACAAAAAAAGTATTTAAGTATGTTTATATCAGTTGGTTAGTACCTATAGTACAAGATTTGCTTAGTTTAGGGCTAGCGGCGCAGTGTAAAATGTCCAAGGATATTTGTAAAAAAAAAGATGAGTTTCTAGTTGACAATTTTGTAGAATGTTTTAGTCTTCAAACGATACTCGTATTATGTTGTCCTAAAGGGGTTCATGAGCAGGCTTTATTTGGAAAGTGTATAAGTGCACTGGAAAGGGTCTACCTACATACTATAAAGAATTGGAAATCCATCAATCCATCCAGGGACCATTGCTCGTCGCAGTTTCTGACGGACATGGGAACTTTAAACATAAACTTCACGAATCCAAACTAGTTCCGTCTCTTTTTTGTGACTATTCCACTTCTTCTTCTTTTCGTGTTGTCAACAAACCTACAGTGTCAGCCCAAAACTCCTCCACAATAGTGGCGTTGTCAGCAGCACTCATTAAATTCTCCTGCGTGTAGTTGCTCGGGCACTCAGGGCACGACATTATGTGCTTCATCGGCTGGGAAACAAAACCGCACCTGCACTTCATGTTTGAGCCATCCAAGAATCCCCACCTGACCAGATTGTCCTTACTACGGCCAACCTGCGTCCGAAGTCTATTAAATACTGTTACACTGTTGCCTTCAAGCAAATCCTGGCTACACAGGAGTTGCAGTGGTGGGAACGAGAGTTGGAAATAGTCTCGTTTGATAAAGAATTTGACTAGTTGCGTAGAAATAATTAAAGCTATTCGTAAAACGATAAAAAAGTGATTCCGAAAACACTTCGCACCAGTAACCGACATAAATGTAGTATAAGCAGCTGCGTATATTAGTCATGCCACGTGCCCCAGATCGCTCCTCCAATTTATCGCCGTTGTCTAGTGTATCGACGTCAGTGAAATATTAAATGCAATAAAAATTTACTCCCCCAGTTCACTGAGATGGATCAACGTCGTAAAAATGAAGATACAATCGACTAGATCGGATATGTGGATAAGTTTCAATTTTCTTGTAGCTTTTCAAGTCCTTTATGTGTTTTTAGATAGACTAAAGCGTTGTGCAAGTTCTATTATTATTATAGACTATTATTATTGATAGATTCGTGATTATCTTGAAATGTTTCAGCAGCTTCTTAGATTTACAATAATATCATTGCCAAATGCAATTTTTAAACGTAAACCGTAACAAAAGTCTTCCTCTAGAAGCAACAAATAGCTCCATCTGCTGGTTTTTGCATCCAGTGGCAATTTGTTTCCCACTAGTAGGTACTAGCTTCCTTTTAACAACTGGAATTATTTACTAGTTATTTTTCATTTTGAGAGGCTAGATTTGGGTTCTGGAAACCACAACTCCATCCAAACGATAACATTGTCAAATAATATTTTAAGTAAAACTGGTAACGTTTTCTAAGTTCCTGCCTTACCCAAAACATTACTTACAGACGCGTATTTACAACAATTAATTTATCTGAATTCAATTACATCTTGGTTCCTCAGCAAAAGTAAATGATCTCACTCGAAATGCCTCAAAGAATTTCGTCCAAAACATCGCGAGAGTTCACTGAGAACTTTTTGCATGTGATTCCATAAATCTAAGTAATTACTTCCTTTCTTCGTACACCCTCGAAGGCCAAATCCGAGAAAAAAGTAACTTTCTCGCAAAACGCGTGGAATCTGGCAACCAGCCAGCATCTGCAGCTTACAGCTTATCTGCACTTTTGCACATCCCAACTTTACAATAACGCTCCATGTTACGGTTTTGTTCAACTTTTATCTGCGAACTTTAACTGTAATCATAAATCGTGTTAATCCGAAGTCAAGGCCGCTGGATTCCGCAATTCGCCCGTATTATATAAGGCGATTGCGATCGGTCGCGCGAGAATCGCTGTCAAAGTCGCTCGGTTTCTTTAAAACTTGTTGGAGATGGAGATTGTTGTGCGACCGGTCTTGCTGCGTTCGTAATAAGAGCTACCGCTACCGGACACAAAGCGGAAGGATCGTTCGTAAACCACGATGGCTTGGTACAAGTACGCGTGGTCAAGTTTGAGACATTCCTTTTGGTATCGGAGCGGTTCAAAAACAGAAACACATGATTCGCTGGGTGCGCACTGGCGCGGGCGGCGCGCGCATGTCAATATCCTCCCACCCCAGCGACGCCGCCATGACGCTACTCCTTTTGTGACGGGACGGCTAAGTGCATAAGTCTGCTTTTGTTCTTTTTTTATTTGCGAGAAGTCGTGTTCGGATAGTGGATAAGTAAGATTCTGTGTTCGGAATTAAAATCCAAAATTGTTTTTCTTAACTTTTGCAATTTTTTTTTTTTTGGAGTTACATTTTATTTTAATTTGTGAAATCTTGAAAAAAATTAAATTAAATACTTTATTAAAAAATAAAATAACTTTTTTTACGTTATTAAAAAATAAATAAATACAATTTTTTAACCTTAAGCCATCCATCAAAATTTTGAACTTACATGGTACAAAATTCCAAATACTAAGAAATAAAATAAGAAATTACAACAATATTAGCATAGTTTGAATGCATCTCATGAATATTGTAGCGTAGCTTATTTTAATTAAAACAGAATCCATTGAACCATACACCATGCTAACTTAGAAATAAAATTTAAAATGCGACTTACGCGTCTCTGCGGCGAAGCCTAACTTAGTTATGAGTTCGTCCGCCAGAGCGCCGGCGTTCACGGACCAGCTGGCTGGTTTGACAGTACTCCGTGCACGTCGACCGGTTTGACTGTCTCGCCCGCCCGGCC